AAAAGAAATATGATTTTCCATTTCCCATATTTTTTGGAGGGTCACAGGCTGCAAGCAGCAAAGGAAAAAAATGAAAAATAAAAATAAATTGAAGGCTTGAAGGCCCAAGAAATTCAAAATCAGTGTTTATGCAGCTTTCTGCATCTGAAATTTCCCCAAGAAACTTTCATTTTGCAGCCTGGGGGTCATTTTTGGGGCCGATATCCGCGGGTATCCGCGCGGAAACCCGCCAGGGAAAGCGGGTATCCGCCAGAGGATGCGGATGCGGATGCGGATGCGGATGTCTGATTTGGCTGAAAACGTGAGCGGATATCCGGATGCGCCGGGCCCATCTCTACCCCAGAGTGGCTATGAATATAGAATTATAGTCAAGATGTTATGCTGCTGTATTAGATAAAGGGTAAACTATGAGAAGGAAAATAAAAATTCTCTTTGGAAGCCTGCTGACTTCAATATACCAATTACAAATGTATCAAAACCTGATCAAGCCAAAATCAATACAGAGAAACAAAAACAACAAATGGCTCAAATTGTCTGTTGTTGAAGGCTTGGATGCCCAAACCTCACCATTGTTGATCAATTTTAAGCTTCTAGTTGATTGTTCTTCAAAGAATGACTTCTGGTTCTTTTTTTAAGAAGTGGATTCACAGGTGTGCAATTCAAGAATGAAAATGCTTGTACATACCTCAAATCCAAAGGGAAGTCCTCCATTCTTCCACCTCATGAGTTTTGAATTAACCTAGGTCAATATTAAACATCTTTCAATTCTCCTGGTTCATTCCACAGCCAGTTGCAAAGATCCTCTTTGCAGCACTGGGTCTATACTATACTTTACTATAACTGACCCTTTTCAGTATAGTAAAGTTTCCTCAAATTTCTATTTACTATACCAATACTAATAGCTATAACCAGTGTGTTTCCCACCAAGCTTGGTATAGTATAGGCCACTTTTTGTGGCTCCAAAATTCACCTATATTGCAAGCGCCTTGTCTTTATCAACCATGAAGTGTATCTATGAACTCCAGAGGGCCCTTCTATGGTCAAGAGACTCTCACAAGTAGCTTTAGATGTTTTTAGCAGCATCCAGGGCAGGTTATAGTAGAGTATATCACCCAAAAGAATTTCCTGTTCTCCTCAGTTATAGTAAAGGGCCCTGAAAATCAGACTATAACCACACCCTTTATAGTAAAGTTGGAAATATATATACTATAACAATACTATACCAATAACCGTAAAGTATAGACCCAGTGTTGCTCTTTGAAAGTTGAAAAGGTAGTGGACGATTTCCCCACATTATCAGTGGGTCTCCCAGAAGCAAATTATAGAGCCTCAGAGCATCCGCATCAGTGGTCAAGTTACACTGGATTAGCGAGCTCGGATTAGGACAAGATTAAGGTGATCTCGGCCTCCAGCCGCATCGGTGGTGGCTGAGGTGGCTTAAATCTATGTGTTATGTATTTGAGGTCAGTTGATCCGACTTGATCGGAGCTAGTTTGTATGTGTCAT